TGTCAACTCTCTCTCTCTCTCTCTCTCTCTCTCTCTCTCTCTCTCTCTCTCCTGTCTCTTATACACATCTAGATGTGTATAAGAGACAGGGCGAGGGATGCGATGGTGAGGAAGGCGCATTGGAGATAGAGGCAGCTCGCCATGGTGGTTCGCAAGGCGCGTCTTGACATTGCGTCTTCTCGATGGTTTGCAAAGGAGGGGGGGGAGTGGAGTGCTGGGAGGAGAGGGGGAGTGGGGGGGCGAAAAGGGGGGGTGAGGTCGGAGAGGGGGCAGGGAAGGCTGCAGTGGTAGTGCCGCGATGAAGCTCAGAAGCGCTACGCCTGCGATGAGCGCTAGGTATAAGACGAAGGCATAGATGACTACGCTTTCTTCAGCCTTGCCTCCTGCCGCTTCGTCATTACCCGCCATGCCGGCCAGCTATGCGTTGCGCTGTGTTGTTGTTGGTGCCGGCCCTATTACCGCAATGCGTTGCTGGTTGCTGCGTGCCGATATCGGCCTCATGCCGCCTCGTCATTATCCGCCATGCTAGCAAGCTACACGTTGCGCTGCGCTGCTGTTGGCGCCGGCCCTGCCTATCTCTACGTGCTACTAGTTGTTGCGCGCCGATATTGGTCCCATGCACCTGCCGTAAGAACCATCAACGGTTGCATGCGGGTCATACCGATTTTTCGGGCTCCATCGAGTCGTCGATGAGATCCAGGTCAGTGAAGAAATCCATTTTGTCAGAAGGCCACCGCTTGGTCGGACTCCCGTTTGCCTGATTGAGAGGGTCACTTCAGACTGTCGGTTCAAGTTATGCAACTGATGTGTTGCTATAGTGCCCATTCCCGATTTTATATCCCGCTGATTCCCGGTCCTTGGCTTGTCGTTGTCGTCGCTGCTCGAAAGCTCTTCTGTCACTTCTCGTCCCAACACCGGCGGGGTCCACACCTGGCTGTAGCCCTGTGCCCAATACATGCTTAAAAATTGTCCTACCCGTCATGTAATTCACCAAGGGGAAAAAAAAGAGAGAAAAAAAGGAAAAAAAAAAAAAAAAAAAAAAAAAAACAGGGGAAGGCGGCAAGAAAAAGGTTGCTATCTTGCATTCGTCATCTGCCCTGTTTTCGCTTTCTTCCACGTGGGGGAATGCCTCTCCTGCGCGTGGTATGCCGCTTTTCTTAGTGCGTTCACAGGAAGTGTATCCGTCACAACCCTGTTTTCTACTTCCGATCGAGAGTTCAAACCTCACCTTATTTTCAGGAAAAGAGGAACAGAAAAAGAAAAGGAAAAAGGAAAAAGAAAAAAAAGCAAAAGAACAGGGGTTCCCTGTCCCTCTTAGCGTTGGTGCATCAGGTTCACGGCGTGATCGACAACACCCTATGCGACTGCTTCAGCCTGTGCTGGCGCGGATCA